CACCAAATGTCTCTGAGTACGGTGGTTCACCTACCACGACAACGGCGTAAGAGAACTTGTTGGATTTCACGTAGGAAGCATCGGGATTTTCATTGAATACGACTTTTGTTTTAGGATCAACGGTTTTCTTAATTCCTTCTAGGATCGTCGTACCTTATAATAGGAAAAAATAAGATCTATGTATCAACGGTAGGATAAAGAAGACTTCAACTTATTTTTATTTCTATGTACTATTTAATAGTATCTTATTCTCCATACCAAACATATGATAAGACTTTAATGTACAAAAAGAAGTCACCAGAACAAGAATTATATCGAAGATTTACCAGATGTATGGTTGCCACTCTGACCCTGCCACTGGATTGTCCAACCACCACATTGGTTACCAATATCGTTTGCGTGGCTCCCTGCGATGAGGATCTTTGATGCCTTCTTAGGAAGTGGTAGCAATGGCTCGTCTGCAGATTCACCATTCTTGAGGAGCACAAGAGATTTTCTTACTGCTTCCCGTGCTAATTCTCTGTGCTCCTGTCAAAGTTAAGGCGCGCATAAGCAAACTCGTCAAGTAAGGTGAATTGCAGAGTACTAAACAGTATTAGAATCTCGTCTATCCTAACTAACCTGACTTCCTAAGTACTTGGTCATGCTATAATCGGCTAATGGATTCTCAAACAGTCCCATAGTGAACTTGACCCTTAAAATCCTTTTTACTGCATCGTCAATTCGGCTCGTTGGAATGAAGTTGTTTTTGACCAGGGAAGTTAGGCCATCGATGAATTCTTTGTATTTGGTTGGAACCATGATCTGCAATGTACAGCACCTAAGTGAATACTTGGCAGATAATTGACACAAAAGGACATTGTTCAAGTCACAAAATCTGATAAATGTACCATGTCAATGCCTGCATTTACTCCAGCTACAATTGAATAAGTATAATTTGCATGAGGTGGAGATGTAATTCTGTCAAGACCCTCCCAATCTGAGATAACAAATCCCTGAAATTTTTCACATCAAAAATTTGATCTCCACTGTCAGAAAACAACTCCAAGTTGAATTTTTTTAAGGAAAATGAGATTTACTCTGAAACGTAATGTATTCTTTAGAAAACCGGTGATCATGTCACGATTAGTGTGCATCTTTATCCCATTCCAGCTCGAGTACGAGATCATGACAGTTGTTACCCCCTTGATGATGGAATTATAATAGCCTGGCATGTGGATACTTAGCAGTTCATGCTTGCTTGTCTCGGTATTGTTCTCATTGATGCCTTTAGTGGTTCCACCATCACCCACGTAGTGTTTGGCACATGCTGCAACCTTTTCTCTGTACAAAGTATTAAGTAAAATCAAATAAACNGGCTCGTTGATATAAGATCCCTTTCCAGTGTTAAAATTTATGTTTATCTCTATGCTTGAGAAAAATGTAATTTAATTTCAAGAAATGAGCGATTGGTCAACACTACGGCATATTCAATACGAAGCATTGAATAGTATTCGACAGTATCATATAAAGAAAAAAGAAGTTACCGTTGAGTTAATACTATAAACAAACAATCACTTACTTTCCAGCTACGTATGGAACACCCTTCCGGAAGTTTGCAGGTAAATCTCCTTGTAATCCTGTTATAATATCAGTCATTGCTTGAACGACCTTTGGATCTTCACTATAGCTCTCATAACACCGGCCCCATCTCGGATCCCTGCACACCTGTTTATGAAACAACCATTGGTAATAAACCAAAATACTATCTTATCTGCTAGGATTTTTCTTAGTCAAACAGAAATTACAATTCGAATTAAACTAATTACCGCTACACAAGGTGCAAAAACATAAGGAATGCCTGTAGCCCTGACTTCAAGAGCAGTTGCAGATCCTATTTTCTTGACCAGTTCAGGATCCATAGTAGCTCCAAGACCAACATTGTGAGGAAACAGTGTTGCCTTATACACATTGCCATGGCCATGAACTGCATCAATCCCATAAATCATCGGTATCCCAAGACGAGTCGATAACGAGCCTTTCTGGAACTCATTCACCATGTCGACCCATATCTCAGGGGACGCCTTCATAGCTGGAACACTACCTCCACCGCTCAATACACTCCCTGCTCCATAAACACCACAACACTTGGAAAAAAAATACATAAACTAAGAAGGGTTATCAATTTCAAGACAATGCAGAATTGTTCATGTACCTATATAGTACTTCTTCATGACTTCAGCAGATGCCACAGTTCTATCAATTTGTACCATTTGGCCTATTTTTTCTTCTAAAGTCATCCTGCCCATTAAGTCTTTGATTCTATGATTTATTGGGTGTTTAGGATCTTTGTATGCCATGTACTCAACATCTGCCATGGCTGCCCAAAGACATAGTACTAAAATCCCAATCAAGAATGCTGAATCTTTTGCCATTTTTTGCATTGGCATCAACCTTCGCTGCAAAATATTGTTGTCAATTAAGATCAATAATAAGAATATTACAAGTTTACAACCAACCTTAGATTCCACACCGACAAACCAATAATTCCCACAATTAAATATTCCAATATACTCACAATAGAAAAATCTACCAATGAAGGGAGCCTAACTAGTAATCACACATTTCAAAAAAAACAGCAATTATGACAGTATAAATCTAAAAAATATATACAATGCTTCATTTCTCATAAAATAAATACGAGTTTACAATTTGAAAATGGATGCGGAATTACTGAACTGGGATACAAGAGAAGAATTACCTCATTTGTAAGAAAGATCATATTTTTATCCAAGAAATCATGCAGTTTCCAAAAGTAAAAACAAAAGAATAA